GTTAGACTGTAAAACACATCATGATGTCATCAGTTAGACTGTATAAAACATCATGATGTCATCTGTTAGACTGTATAACACATCATGATGTTGTTAGTCATTTGGACAGTTCACCTACAGTACACTGCCATCACTAATATGCACTTGCACATACATTCATTTTTGTACTGTACTTTATTTATGTATATAAATATGCATATGTGTTTATATGTGTATATGTGCATTGGTATATTACATTACTATATATCACGTGTAAATTGTGGGGTTGTTTTGTTTGTTATCTTTTATTTATTTTTCATTATTCTTCTCAGCCTCTCTTGTATTAAGCTGCAGTAATGTGCAAATTACCCCACTGTGGGATCAATAAAGTTTTATCTTATCTTATATTATCTTACTTACCACACTAGTCAATCTGGTGCCAGGGTTGTTACTTCCCACAGCAGCCACTCATCTGGCTCTGCCCCTGATTAATATCCCTCTCTCAGATATTTTTCGTGGTCATCTAATTTAGCATCGTTCTGCTGTAGTTGTTGTTTTACTGAAGACTAAGAGGTGTGTTGTTTAAACCACAGGTGTTTTGCAGCCACAGTTTAAATTATAGGAATTTATGAATTTCTCTTTTCTTTTAAAAAGAAAACAAACTTCCAACTGTTTTTGTGACCTAATGTGGTTTTCAGAGGGACATTTTATTTCAGAGGAGACATGATGCTGACTGAATATGACTTTGGGTCATTGTAGATGCTTTTGTTATCAGCTGCATATGTATGAACTTCTGGTGGTCCATATGCTACTATTCCATTATGACAAATAAATAATTCAGTTCTGTCCAACAAACAGACCAGTTTAGACTGGGTGACACACCACAACGTCCTGCTGACATCAATGAAATAACCCAGCTTTCTTCTTTGTATACGTCCACTGATGATGGAATCATTGCAGCCTTTGTACACTTGTAAAGAAAGGACAGTTTTTCAATAGTTCAACATCTTACTTAGACTACAAACCAGTTTTATAATATTAAAATCACACGGCTCTGACAGCAGGATTTTTGACGAAACCTTTTACAGAGACTCGCAGTGTGTCTAAAGTTTGACCAACATTCAGAAGATGAGAATCAAGACTTGTTCATCAAAGAAGATGAATTACAGTGAAAGACAAAAGTACAGTTAGAAAATGTTTGGGATAAATGAAGTTTTACCATTCAGAGTAATGTGAAACATAATAATAGATTTCCTTTATGATCTATACTTTATTTACAATGGGACATAGTAAACATATGTACCAATAGGATGTGATAAAAAGGGGAAACCCTTCTGTAAATCTAGTGTATTCATTCTGTTTTGGTTTTTTTATCCTTGGGTCTTAGCACAGTCTGTTTAAAACCTGTCACAGGTGTGRTGGACCTCTGATGTTTGGCCTCAGTGGCTCCCTCAGGTTCTAAACATGTTTGTTTTCAGAGCCAAACCATGGCTGGCTCCCAGCTGATGGTCCCGTTTTGGTTTAAGTCTCTGAAGAGTGAAGCTGCTCATTTCTCTCAGCTGGTAGCTATATCTGCTTTTCTTCTTTAATTCAACAGAGTAAATGATGACTAATACAGGCATGCAGGTTCTGGATGAATAATGCTTTGAAGTTTTCAAGGTTAAATCTGTTTTATTCTAAATGAAACCTGAGCTGTGTGTTGAATCATGGAGAAGGGATTCAGATCGTCACTTTGTGTGATAAAGCAAAAAAAGAGAGTCCTACCTTGCAGCCCTCACATGCACTGACACCATAGTGGTACCCAGAGGACTTGTCCTGGCAGACAAAGCAGGGTTTGTAGACTCTGGGAGGGGGTGGTGGGGACGGTGGGCTTGAGACGAGCTCCTCAGAACTGCTGCTCTGTGTCTCAGTGGCTGCAGGGAACACAAACAAGAAGACATTTGTAGCAGGAGGGATCGCTCGTTTTAACATAACCTCTTGACCCTGCAGGTCATCATTGGATTTTTCCTATTTTTGTAATAAATTCTCATAGGCTGGTGTCATAATAAAGAAACTACACATTGATAATTCGATGTTAGGGTATGTTCACAGTCCGAACGTGACAAATCCCACCCAGGTTTTTTCAAAATGTGGTACAGAACTGGACACATATCTGATGCTTTTCAGAGCGACTGCAGTGTGAACGCTCATGTCTCATTACATCAGACTTTTTCATCAGTGAGGTGGGGGTGAAGGATCAATAAAGACACTAACTTCTTTATTTTATTTTTATTTTTTTTACCGTGTCCTGTCCGGCAATGTGAAACTCAGAATTGATGTCTGAGTGTCCAAATGAAGCCCAACAGTTTTACTTTCACAAGTGCAACATAATGGCATTTTCACCATGATGCTCCACTTGATATATATATTCAAACCTTTTATTATAAATTCTTTAGGAATTAATTCATTATAACGGACACGAGGACAGAAAAAGTAAACAGAGAAGAGAAAAAGGAGAAAAGTGAAGAAAGAGATTGAAAGGCAAACAAGAAGATATGAGAGATGCATTAAGAAAACACAAGACAACACATTTGAAGCCTGACTCCACACCTGCAACAAGAGAGAAGACACAGAGCAACAAAATATATGTGTATATAATAATTACAGCCTCACTGAAAGTACTCAGTAATTTTTATGAGTAGAATATGATAATTTTAAAATACATACTGTACATACATATTTAGTGCCCAATGCAAAGACATTAACTTCAAGTCATGCTACTTAAATCTGTAGCTCTACACGTCTTCAGCTACAGACCAGTTGCTTCATCTTTTTTTCTTTTAATTTTCCATGTACTGGATGACTGAGAATCCACAACAATATATGACAGTAATGTTGTCAGACCGCATTAATACTAAAGTTATTCAATCGATATTTTAGTTTTAGCATATTGCTTTATTCTAAAGGTAAAATGCTGCACCGGAGCATCCAGTCAGAGGCAGGTTCAGATATAAACACTGAACTAAACAATCGTGTCAGACAATTTATTTTGATTATTTTCAAGGGTTTATTGATTCTTTTTGTAGCTAACATTTCTTTTAACTAAAYGCAAACTTGTGCTTCATCCTGATTGGTCATTTGTTTTCTTAATCCTGAGACCTGGTGGTCACACAGATCAGAAGATGTTGAGCAGGAAAGCCAGCTTACCTTCTCACATGTTGACAGTTTCAGCTCTGTTACTACCTGCAGCACAGAAGTGCATTAGAGCAGCYGGGTCGGATGTTATTAGTCCATTAAATGGAAGTTATCAGCAGTTATCAGTCCCACAGAATGACTTCAGACTGTGCTGACAGTGCCCCCTAGTGGGTTACCAGTTCCATATACTGTACATTGGAATGCAGCAATCTGCTACCGCCGGAGTCCGGTCTACTTTATCGTAGCCCATGTCATTTTCTCTGAAATTAACCCTAGTGGCTTTATGCCTCATATTAACCAGATTGTATTAAAAAACTTTAGCAGTTTTATGCCTCATATTAACCAGATTGTATTAAAAAACTTTAGTAGTTTTATGCCTCATATTAACCAGATTGTATTAAAAAACTTTAGTAGTTTTATGCCTCATATTAACCAGATTGCATTAAAAAAACTTATTGGCTTTATGCCTCATATTAACCAGATTGCATTAAAAAAACTTATTGGCTTTATGCCTCATATTAACCAGATTGTATTAAAGAACCTTAGTGGTTTTATGCCTCATATTAACCAGCTGACAGTCTGAAGCCATTCTATGGGACTGATAACCGCTAATAACATCCATTTATTGGATGATAACATCCGTAGCAGGTTATCAGAGTGTGGGTTGTCACGTCAGGGCAGCCAGAGGGCCTCTAAATCCCAGCTTTAGGTGTTCTGTGAAAGATCCTAATGCCTGGGTGGTGTGTGTTGGGGTGGTGTGTGTTGGGGTGGTGTGTGTTGGGGTGGTGTGTGTGGGTGGGTGCTACTATCTGAACTCAACTCATCAACAGAATATTATCTTAGAGTGAAATATTGAGTTGATTAACACGTCAGTAGTTGTAGCAGGTTTATAGACTAACAGAAGTCTAATCAGATGTGATGGTGATCACAGACTGTCTACTCAAACATGTAAATTAAACAGCATGCTACACCTGGTGACAGCTGATGGCAGCACACGTTAACATACTGCACATGTAGAGAAAAGATACTTTGTGTTTCTGATGTTTCTGTTGTGTGTTTGCGACGGCTGAGTGGTCCCATACTGAGGGGAGGCAGGGCAAGCATTCAGCCTTGCTGCCTATTTGAAACTCATGGCTGCTTTTAAGAGGCAGCATGGCCACCTGCAGACAGATGGGACGCACAACTGGAGATGCATTACACCACTCTGTGTGTGTGTGTGTGTGTGTGTGTGTGTGTGTGTGTGTGTGTGTGTGTGTGTGTTCATTGGCTACCTGTGCAGGCTATATCAGGTGCACGGAAGCTTTTTTTTTCCATTTTCTGCGTGATTAAACTTTGAGTCGACTCCTCTGCATGTTAACATACACAGAAAGCTCCATTAGAGACATAAAGGCTGCTGACGGACAGGCACGCACAACAAGTCTGTCTTTGAAACAGACGGGGAAACCACGCAGCTGTGGCGGCTCTTGAACCCTTAGCCCCTGGCTGAACCTTCCAGTGGGGTCGACCAGAAAAGCACACGCTCCCTGCTGAAGGTTTCAGGCTGAAAGTGGGGAAGGACTGGAAAAAGCAGTTGTCCTGATTGGTCCATCCACAGGCGCTGAGACACCAGGTGCAGGTGATACACCACAGCCGCTGGCTTTTATTAAATTTATATCAGACAGGGCTGAACTGGACTAAATGACTTCATATTGGACATAAAGTCACTTCTACACACTTCTGCACTTTAAAGCAGAGGTTCTCAAACTGGGGTCTGTGAGAGGTATCTTGG